AGACCCCTGTGGAAGGCTCCTGTCCTATTCCCTGTCTTCTCCCACTTCCGATGTCTATCCTATTTGCACTTCTGAATGAAAATTAAGCCTCTTCCATAGGGACCTCTTTGTTGTTTAGCTTCTTTAGGACTACAGTTTTTAGTATGTTTATCCTATACTATATGGCTAATATCCACTTATAAGTGATTATATACCATGTGTGTCTTTCTGCCCATTTCTGGCCTCTGGGTATCAGGTACACACATGATCCACAGAGATTCATACAGTAAAAGACCCATACATATAGGGTATTTGAGGAGCACACATAAAATTAAAATTAATGTCTTTTTAAAATCCTCATTACAGATACATTCACAAACAGAAATGAAAGTATACCACAAGAGAAAAATCACTTAGCCAAGCAGAAGACAGTAAAAGAAGGAAGAAATAAGTAATTTTCAAAGCAACTAAATGGAAGTAATAAGTCTTTAAAAATCAATAATTACCTTGGATATAAATGGACTGAACCCTTCAGTTAAAAGACAGACTAGATGAAAAAAATGCAAGACCCAACACTATATTGCTTGCAGGATTCATGTCACCTGAGGGACGTATATGAAATGAATGTGAAGCAGTAGGAAGATAGTCATACATATAGAACGTGAAGAAGATGTAAGAAGTTGCACAGACACCCGATAATGCACATGTGAAATCAGGAACTGTAAAAGAAGACAAAGGTCATCAAATAAGGATAAAGAGTCTGAGTCAACAAAAGGCTGCAAATAGTGCAATAAAAGCAGTGGGCAGCATGGGGCTGCAGAGGTAAACAGCTGCCTTCACCTACCCTGGCTTAGAAAGAGGCAGGTAGCAAAATCAGAGTACCTCTGACTTAGTCTTTTCCATCACTGCACGTGATTCCTACAAGACAGAGATAGGAAATGAACTTCGTGATGAGAAAGAGCATCTGCTCCTCTCTCTTTTGTAGTCTGTCCTCACCTCCTCCTCCTTCCTGAGCTATCCAAGGACTTAGATCATGTATGTTAGTTCTGTGAACACACAGCTTGCCCCTCCAGCCACTCACAGGCCAATTTTATTTTGAAGCTTAGGAGGAGCATTGCTTCTTCTAGATAGAACTGTCATGAAGCGGTATGGTACCCTCCAAATGAAGGAACAATTGAGTGAGTCCTTTTGTGCGTGGGTCCAACATCTGTGGTAAGTCCATCATCCCAGGAAACACATGTGTCCCTGCAACTGTTTTCA